TCTCTGGTATATGCTAAATGGTAGATACTTCATTTTTCTCCTAACATGTCTGTTTGTCTCCAAGAAGGCTGAGGCATAAGCTGGATAACTTTATTTCAGTGTGATTTCATTTTGGAACCCCTTTTAACGTAGGACTCAAAAAAAAAAAAAGATACATACACTATTTTGGATATGCTAATTGATTTAAATTCAGAGAGTACATAGAAATTCCCCACCGAGACAAATCTTCTAAGTTCTCTTACACCAAAAACGCATTAGAAAGAGATCAAAATAAAATTTCCAGAAATAAATGTAACCAAAAACATGGAGGACATAGGGAAAGAAATGACTTTTCTATGGACACCATGTAAAATTAAAGATTACTATGAAACATTATAAAGAATTAATATATTTTATACATAAAGAGTGCTCACAAATAAAAAAGAATATAAAATGGGCAGAGAGGGAGGTGGGAGGGGGGATTGGGATGGGGAATACATGTAAATCCATGGCTGATTCATGTCAATGTATGACAAAACCCACTACAATATTGTAAAGTAATTAGCCTCCAACTAATAAAAAGAATTAAAAAAAAAGACGCTCATTTTATACACCATGAGGCTTGGAGAGGGAAAGTAACTTAGCCGAGGTTTTAAGTCCCCACACCATGAATCAGAACCTCACAGACTGACGAGAGCAGTTTATGTCATCGCCTAAGGTGCAGTCCTGCCTTGAGTGCTTGGAAAGATGGATGGGATAATAATACAAGGAAGAAGGAATGAGAGGTTGGAGGAGGGAAGATGGATGAAAGCATCAATTGGATTATTTGGGGCCTAAGTATATAGAGATCTCCTCAGATATGACAAGAAATCATAAGAAAAATGCACTTTCAGATGAGAGAAAGGTATGACAGAGGAAGGAAAGCAAAGGTCAGCAGGCTTTCAGGTCAGGGTCATCAGCAATACCACAGCAGCTATTCACCCTTCATTTCCCAGAGCAAGCATCATGTTACTTTCATCCCTCTCAGCCCAGACAGACTCTCTTCTGTCAGTTCCCATGTCCCTGCCTGAGGTCTGGAAGGGTTGATCCCTGTAAGCAATGTCTTTGGTACAGCATCTTATCTTTCCCAGAAGAGGAAAAGAGAAAAAGAAAGCCTAGAGGGACTTCCTTGGTGATCCAGTGGCTATGACTCAATGTTCCCAATGTGGGGGGCCCAGATTTGATCCCTAATCAAGAAACTAGATCTCACACGCTGCAACTAAGAGTTTGCATGCTGCGACTAAAGTATCCCATATACCGCATCTAAGACCTGGTGCAGCTAAAAAAAAAAGAAAAGCCTGGGAAGGAGAGCTAAAGGGCGAGAGAGATCAAGAGAAGTAGTTCCATGTGGTTCCTTCCTAACCCCCATATGCACCATCACCTCTTACCTCAACTCAGGGCCAAGCCACAATCCTCTTGGAGGTAAAGTTTTAACTCACTTCACTTTGGGCTTCCTCTTTTTCATGATGAAGTCTTTTGTAAAGGAAACAAAAATGGAAAATAAAGCATATATAAAGGAAGAAAATTTCAACACTAATCCATACTTTCATTTCACACATGAGAGCCATGCCTTAGATAGAGTTCCATTAACTACATCAGTGGTCAGAGAGCTGTTGTCTCTAGTTGAACTGAGCTGTTTTCGATGGTCTTGATCATGGCTTTTGGTGAGTAGAGTCAGACAGTCATGAGTCTGTAGCTTGCAGCAGGCCTGAAACTGTCAAATAAGTGAAATCCTGGGTTCCTATAGTCAATGAGGATATTTGATAATATGAGGTGGCTAGTAATATAGACTCAAATAACCACTGTGCAATGTAGGGTCCTGAGAAGCCTGGGTATTGTCTTCCTATAAAGAGCCAGAACACCCATTCAGCTCTCTATAATCTCAACTGGTAGTTGTGTATATGTATACACTTACATATGCTCATCTCACCATTTCATCACGGTGTGTAGTTCTCATGCCATATATTGTGAGTCACTGTAGACAATCCTTTTTCCTCTCCATAAAATTCTGAAGTGACCCCCTTCAGGAATACTTGGGACCAGGCCAACTGCAAGTGCTGTAAGACCAGCATGGAAACTGGTCTGGTGTGGTGGGGATAGAAAGGATTCTGGAGTCAGACACATCTGGGTTCGTATTTGGGCTCTGTCACCTGTTTCTTTGTGACCTTTCATGTTACTTCACATCTCTGAGATCAGCTTCCTCATCTGTAAAATGAGGATAAAACCATCTGCCTCAACTCAGTGTTGGGCCCACTGGACACAATGATGCATAAAAAAACATTGGACAGCATGGCTACTGCACAGTGAACACGTGAATGGTGCTTGCACTGATCCACCACACCTGACCCTGTGTCCAAAGGTAAAATCTCCCTATTGTTTGCTGGACTGGGTTCCTTCTTGATCACTGTTAATTTCATATTTCCCAAGTTTCATTCATTCTAAGGAACATATTTCTACTCAGCTTAAAAACTGAAATGGAGTATGTCTTGTGATTACTCTTCATGGGTGTGTGTGTGTGTGTGTGTGTGCACGTGTGTGCGGGGGGGGGCGGGGAGACAGAATCTCCTGGTGGTTGTCACTTGGCTGCGTGTGCCTAGACTTAGTCATGGTTGTTCATATTAAATTATATACATAGTTTGTACTACCTAGGTTACATTTAATTGCCCTTTGAAATGTGATGTTAATGAAAACCTTAAAGTCTCTTGTTGACCCTTTCTGGTAAGATTAAGGAAGTTTCAGTGTAAAACTTGTAGAATGCACACAGAGGCTTGGAAGAAGGTCCCAGAGACTAGAGTGGAGCACTCCTCTAAGAAACAGCCAGAGGATGAGGGCTCAGACGGTGATAAATACCACGTGAAAAATTCCAAGCTGTAAGAAAGCACTGAGTTATATAATTAGCTGCATTTTTCCTTCTCATTGGCCCATAAAATAATATTATATCTTATAAAGGATGGATTTTAGATTTGATAAAATGCGGTAGTTGACTTTGGCTCATCCAGAAGTGGGTGATAAAGTGCACATTGAATAAGATCACTCTGACAAAGTGACAACATCCACATATTGGAGGGTGTGTCTGTTGTTCACAAACATGTACTGCTCTGTATATGCCCTGTGGTCCTTTCCCAGTGCTGGCATTTATGTGGCCCCCAGAATCCCTGGATGTGAGAAAAATGCCTCCAGAGGGCAGATGATCTCGCAGGGGAACAGGAGCAGCTTGGATCCAGGCCACTGAGAGGGAGGAGAGAGTGAGAGGAAGGAAGGGTTCCAGGGCACCGGCCACCAAGCCCAGGCCTGGCCCCTCGCATCCGCTCCAAACCATGGAACAAATAGTGGGATCAGCCAAGGAGCAGGAAACGAAATAGAATCTTTTATCTTCTCTGATGTGATAGGATTTTTGAAAATTGTTTGTTGCTAAGCACTTGTTCTGGAAATATTTTGGTACTTTTGGATTATGTGTATGGCTGGTAAATGTGTGCTGAATGTTAACTAGTTTTGTTGTAACTGTGGTTTGAGATTAACACTTTGTACACCAAAGCCCCCATCCCTAATCTCTTCAGTTATCTCGGTTAATTAGTCAGGACAGCACTATTTAATAATTCTTAAAGTGTATAAATTGTTCTGTGAAACCAATTGTGTGCCTGTGCACGCACACAACACATTTTATCAGTGGTTCAAAAGCAAGGTCAGCTGTTAACTATTTACTAGGTTTACTCTTAATACCTAGGGATAGTATTAAAGTTTTGGTATTAAAAAAAAAGTTTTGGTATAGCTCTGTCTATATCAATATATATGTATCTCTCTCTCTCTCTTATATATATCTCTCTCCCATATATACCTTATATCTGTGAAATTGGAAGTTTTAAAATTGCTTCATATATGTAATATATACTAATATTTTCCCATGACATTAAATATAAGTATTTTTTTTTAAAAAAAACAATAGCAGTTACTAATCATAGTGTGGACCTATATGGAACATCACAATCTCTTATAAGATTTACCAGAACAAATTGCACCCGATGGTTCAACTGGCATTTGGGAAAAGATTCTCCCTTAAAGAGCAGTAGACGATTCACAGCTCACCCTCTGAAGAGGCCCTGCACTGTGCTGCGCTTTCTTGTGGGGAGATCACGATGAGCAGCCCGCTCACAGACCCCCGCCGTCTCAGCCAATGAGCAACCCTTGCAGAAATAATGTTATTAACTCTGGTGATTCATAATAACTCTAATTTGTGTGGGCTGGGCTTTTGCAGGTGGTTTTTGTCTTCCTAATAATTTTATCCATGGATAGGTTTTTCAAATAGTTTTATTGAGATATAATTTATGTACCATCAACTTCACTCATTTAAAGGGTTAGTACAATTCAGTGATTGTTACTGTCTTTACAGAGTTGTGCAGCTGGCACCATGATCTCTAATCTTACATTGGAACATTTTCAGCATTATCCATGGATACGTTTTTCATCAGGATAAATGTAAAACATGAATAATGCATTTATATCTCTTTTGTATCACCCTGTGACTGTTGAATTGTCACAGAACGAATCATGTGAACATGGTCTTGATGATGAAAAGTCAGAGCAGAGGTGTTGAGGGGGAAATTGGCAATAGCATTATCATATTAATAAGCTGAACATTTATAGATTCTATGAAAATATTTTAGGAGTAAAACAAGACTATGCAAATTCCTTATGAAAGTTCATACTATTTGCTTCACTACTATTACATGTGCAATAGAGGTCTATCTACAATATAGAACTCAAATAAAAAACAAATTTTAGTATTAAAAATAGCTTAATCACATCAAAGGGTCAATGAATGTATGGACTATGGATTTACAATAAATATGTGCTGAATTAATGTGTGAATTAAACCAGAGAAACAAAGTAGGGTTGCTATAGGCCACCGTGGAAACACTGGCATTTCACAGATTCACAGAACCCTTTGTTATATTATGTTCTACAAGGATGGTGCATTAGTTTTCACCATCGAAGTTTATATTTTTTCCAATAATCTATGCCTTTCACCAAGTCCATTAATTGTCTTATACATATAATTAAGCAAATAAGATATGGAGTGATATTACAGATAAATGTGATTTGTGTGTTGTGGAGCAAGGATAACATAAAAGAATCTAGTTCTATTTGAGATGAACCCTAATTGATCCTATCGCTTGCAGATTCTTTGCATCCCTTATTTCTTTTAATTAGTGCTTTAACCCCTCTCTCAGTTTTTCTGTTTCTCTTTTTAGTTCCAGTTAAGTGGAGATTAATTCAGCATATAGTTATATCAGGTTGTACTTTGCTGCAGAATTATAGTACAGATTTTCATCTGAAAAGTATTGTTGGCTACTTTTAGTAAAACAAAACAGATTCCAAACTAAATCTGATTACACACCAGAAACTAATGCCAGGATTTTAATGGGGAAACCAAGCACAGAGAAGCAATGACTTGTAACATTTCAGGGATAGAATTACTTCAGCTTTGCTCTAGACTTTCATGATGTCACTAGGACCTCCCAGATCTGGGTAATGTTTCAAGAAAGACCAAGGCCCTATTAGTGCTAAAAATAGTATCGCTATGTGATGGTGATGATGATGTGGTTATTGGTTACTGGGAAATTTTTGGACCTTTGGCAGCCTGAGTTTTAATGGAAATTGGGAAGTGGAGAGAGTGGGAGCCAATGTGGAAGTGGTTTTGGTAGTTTTTCTGACCACTGAAATCAGAGAGGGTTTCTATACATGTCCCTGAAAATGTTCTAAGTATTGGCTGTTTACTACTTTCATGGAGGCTTTGCCCTCACTGGTATTTTATTATAAAACATTTTCAAAGTTGCACCAAAGCTGAAAGAATTCCATAGTGAACACCCAGGTACTGACCATGTAGATTCTCCTGTCTTTTTCTTCTGTGTGTGTTGTTTCTGTAATTATGTGAAAGCTCTTGAATGATAGGTTTACCTGTCACATATCGGAGCTGGTCTCTGTAATACTACTTGGCTCTTGGAGATTCATTCCTTGTAGCACTTTGAAGCAAAGCATTTACTTAGATTTTTCCCCAAGATTCTTAACACAGTAATAAACACATTTTTAGACTGGTCCATCACAATCCTAGGTCACAATTGTAGTTGAATCTGAGAGACGATCTGTTATGGGCCCCCTCTCTTCTGACAATGTGGCTCCAACTAACCTTTCAGCTTTGAACAGAAAAACCCTGTGTTCTAGATCTTCTCTCCCATTTGAATAATCTAAAACGACTATGTCCATAAATTCATTCAATTCAGTCACTTATCATGTGGCTCCAACTAACCTTTCAGCTTTGAACAGAAAAACCCTGTGTTCTAGATCTTCTCTCCCATTTGAATAATCTAAAACGACTATGTCCATAAATTCATTCAATTCAGTCACTTATGGGAGAAAACTGGGGTAACAGTTTGAAAAATTGGAATTTAAAAATCATCCAGAAAACTTGTTTTCAAACAAACTCTCAAATTATTTTCAAGGAGTTCAATAGAGAAGTTCAATTAAAAATCTGAGATTTCTTGCTTGTTATGGTTGAAACCAGAAGGAAATGAAACTATAAAGGAAAAGGGAAAGATGCAAAGAGGGAAGACATTCTGCCCTCAGATTATGAGGATTCATTCACCTCTCCTTTCCTTCTCCCTCAGGTTCACACTAAAGTGGCAGGAAGCAGGCGGGCACTTACTGTGGAGAAGTGAGGATGAACTAGATCTCTGGAGATCTCCTGGATGTCTACTAGGAGAATAGTCTCCAAATAGCACGTTTTCAACTCTTCTCACATTTCCTTGGCAGAAGGTGCTTTCAGTCTACTGGACAGGCAACTAACCACTTAGTAAAAGAACACAGGAGGCCAGGCTGCTCTGGGCATTGTTCTCAAGCTCCCGCATCATAAAGTGCTGACATAGTCTCTGAAGTAAGCAAAGAGCAGACCTGAACGCAGCACCTGGGCTCAGAGGTCACCAGCGCAGCTCCGGAGCTGCGGTTCTGGTTGCTGTGTGAAGATTTCACAGGCTTCCCTGGAGAGAAGAGACCATTTAGTCACAGGATCACCATGGAAAAGATACCTCACTGAGGAGTTGAAAACACTATCATTTATCATTCAAGTGATAATTTATCCTTCAATCTAACTACATCCCAATTTTCAGAGACTTTAAACATACTAATATTTAAGCCACTCTGGACTTCTGTGAAGAAAAACTTCAAAAGAAGGTGATATTCTTAGAGGGCAGAGGCCTCTTTATATCTCAGTTTAGTTCAGTCGCTCAGTTGTGTCCAGCTCTTTGTGACCCCATGGAATGCAGCACGCCAGACCTCTCTGTCCATCACCAACTTCCAGAGTTTACCCAAACTCATGTCCATTGAGCCAGGGATGCCATCCAGCCATCTCATCCTCCGTCGTCTCCTTCTCCCGCCTTCAATCTTTCCCAGCATCAGGGTCTTTTCCAATGAGTCAGCTCTTTGCATCAGGTGGCCAAAGTATTGGAGTTTCAGCTTCAACATCAGTCCTTCCAATGAACATTCAGGACTGACTTCCTTTAGGGTGGACTGGTTGGATCTCCTTGCAGTCCAAGGGACTCTCAAGAGTCTTCTCCAACACCACAGTTCAAAAGCATCAATTCTTTGGCGCTCAGCTTTCTTCACAGTCCAACTCTCACATACATGACTACTGGAAAAACTATAGCCTTAACTAGATGGAACTTTGTTGGCAAAGTGATGTCTCTGCTTTATAATGGGCTGTCTAGGTTAGTCATAACTTTTCTTCCAAGGTGTAAGCATCTTTTAATTTCATAAAGCATCTTTATACCTCAGCTTCTAGTATATTCTGACACAGGCTGTGGTAGGCACCCAACCCAGTAATTGTTTGTTGGATGAATGAATAAATGTAATGAAACACACAGTATTCTCTCTCTGAAGAGCTCCTCCCTCTTGAAGCAGCATGATTATTTGTCTTTGCTTTTCTGTCTGGCTTCCCTGTCAGACTGTCCTTCTTTACCTTTGTGTTATGGTCGGGGGCTGCAGGTGCTGACCCGTCACCTCCTCACCTACTCCTGAGGATGGAAGAGCACAAGGGGGATACTAACCAACCACTCGGGATTGGAGGGTGTTACCTTGGTGAATTTGCTTCACTTGGGTCACCATATTGCAGGCTTAAACACTTGCTTTGCACAGGCCTCAGAGAACATTCAGTATCTCAGAATAAATATTGTCTGAGTTTTGGAGTGGATGATAGGGTTTCTATTTCCTTATTTGGGACCAGGTGCTGGGGTCAGGGAGATTGTAGCATCCACTCCCATAGGATATATATCAGGGCAGCTTTCCAGAATTGAGGACTGGATGTATCATTGGGGTGTCTACTGGCAGCAGACTCTGGTAATGTCTCTCCATGTATAACTGGCTCAGTCTGCCAATAAGGGCAGCCTCTACATGTGTGAGATCAAAGGATTTCCTCTTATTTTTGCCTCAGACACTCCCTTCCCTGCTTCTATCCTGAATGCCCGCTTCTGGATAGACAAATTCTTCTTCTAATTGTATGAATATCATTGGCTAGATTTCTTGTAACTCACTTCTTCATTCAGCATATTTGTTGCATGATCACTGGCCATTTTCCGTGCTTCCTGCATCAGGGCCAGGAAACATTTTTGCATAAATCTAATCTCACCTCTTCCATGTCATTGTTACTAATTCTGACGTCTTGATGAAATGCTTCCTTTCTCACTTCCACTTTTTTTTTCCCTACCAGTATCTTAAAACGTGAAGAAATAGCAAAGGAGGGAAATAAAAATTATGGTATATTTTAAATATTCATCTTTAAAATATTAAGTGTTTTTTAACATGCTGCTGCTGCTGCTAAGTCGCTTCAATTGTGTCCGACTCTGTGCAACCCCATAGACGGCAGCCCACCAGGCTCCCCCGTCCCTGGGATTCTCCAGGTAAGAACACTGGAGTGGGTTGCCATTTCTGTCTCCAGTGCATGAAAGTGAAAAGTGAAAGTGAAGTCGTTCAGTCGTGTCCGACTCCTAGTGACCCCATGGACTGCAGCCTACCAGGCTCCTCCATCCATGGGATTTTCCAGGCAAGAGTCCTGGAGTGGGGTGCCATTGCCTTCTCCTTTTTAAAATGCACAGAGTATTAAATCATACTTGTAACTGTTCTTGGAGATGATGCCATAGTTCCGAGTTCGAGGCACTCTGTTGAAGTGAGGTCCATACCAATTAGCCCTCTGCCCTCGTCCCTCATGAGATGTGCCCACTTGCTCATGCCTGCGTGGGGTCCCCTCCGCTGCATGTTCTAAGCATGGGCTATGACGTTTTCTTGTCAGGTTCTGTCTCTGGCTCCCTGCTGAGTACTATCCGAGGTCAATTCTGTCGGTAAGTTTAGTAACGAGAACCTACTATTTCCTAGGCACCGTATCAAGCTGGGGCTGCTGAGGTGAACAGTCTCTATCATTAAGTGGAGGAGGGGTGATGCCAGTGGGATGCAGTGGTAAGTGGAAGCACAGATAAGGGGCGCTTAGTCCAATTTGGGGATTTAGGGAAGGGTTTCTGGAAGAGTTAGTGTCCAATGTTAATCTTGAAAGATTAGCAGCTTGAGCAAAGGCGCTGAGGCATAAAATGACATGGTTCGAAGGGGAAACTGCAAATGGTCTAGTGTTAAGTGAAGTGGGAGGGGGAAAAAATGAATGTGGATGACGGAAGGGCTAGATCATGGAGGACTTTAACCGCCCTGACTGGGGCTTGGACTTCATTTGTTGCAGCAGTTTTCTCATGAGGAGTTTTAGCACAGAGAGATTTATGCTCTGGTCAACCACTTTGGTAGCAGCATGAAGGGTGAATTCGGGGAGGGCAATTCCAGAGGTGTACAAATTAAGATGGTAGCAGTGGGACTAGAAATGAGTGGGTTAATTTAGGAAATATTAGTAGAGTTGACATAACTTAGTGACTAATCAGATGTGGGAAGTGAGAAGAAAGAATGATTCAGACATTTCTGGTTTGGGAAACTTGGGTAAATGGTGGTGCCATTAACCAGGAAATAAAATACAGGCAGAGGAACAGTTGTAGGAGGCAGGGAGGGTGGGTTCCTTGTCTGCAGGAGCCCTTGTCTAGAGTGGTGCCTTGTATTCAATAGGTGTTTACTAAATAAGCCTTTTTTTTTTTAACCTTCAGTGGCTCCCCATGCTATTAGGCTATTTGACATGTATCATCAGGTGTGTGTGTACTTAGTATCACACCCAAGAGCCTACACCTGTGTGAGCATGATCTTGCTTCATCCTGGCTTCAGTCGTCTCCAGCTATGTTTTAGATCCTGCCCCCTACCTCATCATGCTTCAGTCTCCTTTCTGGGGTTGTATTCTTTAAGCCTTTTCCTCTGAATGCTCTTCTCTCAGTTAACGTGAGGGGCTTATTTTCTGCTCTGAGCTCAAATATCACCTGCTTAGAGAACCCTTTCCTCAATTCCTGGACAAGTGACTGCCTCCCAGTGCCAAATCCACCACTGTATTCCGCAGTGCTGAATAGAGTGCTGGGGCTGGAACTCAGCTAACTACATTTCTTTTTTTTCTTTGCCAGCTGGCTTCTGGCTAGGTTCAACAATAAGCTACATCAGACTACAGGGAACTTGGAAAGCAGAGGGTGGGAAGAAGGCACTTATGTTCCTTCCGGATTGTTTTTTGATTCTGTGTGTGTCACCCTGGCAATGGCAACTGGTTCTAGCCATTCAACATCTGGGCAGTGCCCTTTCCTTGGAGGGTTGAGCCCTACCTCCCAGGGGTCTGACCTATGAGCTTCCAGATTCTGGTAATTCTAACCTTTCCCTCCCACCTCCCCAGCCCCAGCTGTGGTATCTGCTTCCCATAGTTATTATCTCTGACATCTCAGTGTTTTCTCTGTGTTTTTCCAGATGTCCAACACAAATTTAACTTAGTACTCCTACACTAAAGTCTCTCAGTGTGATTGCTGCCTTTCTTAACTGCTGGACCCTGACACTACTGAAGATGGTTTACGCCTTCATCCAGTTACTCTCTAACATATAATAGGACTTTCTTCATAGACTTCTCATAATTCATATTTACTTTTTTTTGCTTTTTCATCATCTGTCTTCTTTTGGATACTAGAGCTTTTGTCTCATTTATCATTGTATCCCTGGAATCTATCATGGAGCCTGACATACTGTAAGAACTTAATATATGCTTGTTAAATAAATTATTGAATTACAAAAGACTACAGGAGAAATATTGCTGACTGCAAAAAAATAGCCAGAATTGAGCAATTTTTTAACCTCTTGGTTCTAAGTCAAGTTATTAATGAACTCTATAATAATGCAACTCTATAACAGAGAGTGGAGGTCCATGCTTCTTATAAGCCTGTTAGAATACAAGGCATTATTTAACACAGATCCATCATCATTGGGATAACAAGATACACAATTTATTTTCTTTGAATTTTATACTTACATAAATCCCCACTTTCTATAACTAGGAATGATAATAACTTACCTATGAGGGTTTCATGAAGATCAGGAGTTGGTTATGGGTTAGATCCAGAAAGTTTTGTTGGTCAGAAAATAACTTCAAAAATAAAAGCCACCCAAAGAATCAACTTGCTGTAACATGCAACATCACTTAATAGCATTTATTTTACAATCTTTTATTTAAATATCAACTATAATACTAAGAATCAATCATAATATGCCATATATGCATAATTCTAAAATGTTGTTCAGTTGCTCAGGTGCAACCAACTCTTTGCAACCCCATGGACTGCAGAACGCCAGGCTTCCTTGTCCTTTACCATCTTCCAGAGCTTGCTCAAACTCATGTCCATAGAGGCAGTGATGCCATCCAACCATCTCATCCTCTGTTGTCCCCTTTTCCTCCTGCCTTCAATCTTTCCCAGCATCAGGGTCTTTTCTAACGAGTCGGCTCTTCACATCAGGTGGCCAAAGGATTGAAGCTTCAGTTTCCGCATCAGTCCTTCCAATGAATATTCAGGACTGATTTCCTTTAGGATGGACTGGTTGGATCTCCTTGCAGTCCAAGGGACTCTCAAGAGTCTTCTCCAACACCACAGTTCAAAAGCATCAGTTCTTCAGGATTCAGCCTTCTTTATGGTTCAACTCTCATGTCCATACATGACTACTGGAAAAACCATAGCTTTGACTAGACGGACCTTTGTTGGCAAGGTAATGTCTCTGCTTTTTAATATGCTGTCTAGGTTGGTCATAGTTTTCTTCCAAGGAGCAAGCGTCTTTTAACTTCATGGCTGCAGTCACCATCTGCAGTGATTTTGAAGCCCAAGAAAATAGTCTGTCACTGTTTCCATTGTTTCTCCATCTATTTGCCACGAAGTGATGGGACCGAAGTCCATGATCTTTGTTCTTTGAATGTTGAGTTTTAAGCCAGTTTTTCATTCTCCTCTTTCACCTTCATCAAGGGGCTCTTCAGTTCCTCTTTGTTTTCTGCCATAAGGGTGGTGTCATCTGCATATCTGAAGTTATTGATATTTCTCCTAGCAATGTTGATTCCAATTTGTGCTTCATCCAGCCTGGCATTTGGCATTCTAAATTAATTTTGCTCAAATAAATGCAAATAGATTATATGACATGGATTTTCACTGTGCCAAGTGGAACAATTGATCTTTAAATTTAAATTTTCCTTGAATCTACTTCAAATGTGTATTTTTTTTTTAACCTTTCCTAACTCAGAAGAAAAAATGTTCCTTTTCTTCTCCAGCCTAAATGGGCCATCAGGATCCTTAAATGCAACTCTTCCTTCCTCTTCTTTCTCCACCTGGAACGTTACACTCAAACTTTTAATGTGCCCACTACTATTGTTTCTCCTTTCTCAGAACTCACAAACAAAAATCTTTTCCTCATCTTGTTACTGGTTCAAGCCACCATCCTGTGTCTGTCTTTCTTTTCTCATGCCCATGTTTCAAATAATTCAGTCATGATTTCTATTTTGCTATATGATTTTTGCCTTCCACTCATGACTGAAATTGCACTCTTGTAGCTCACAAATGATTGCCTGATCAGTAGATTCTTTTTGAGCCCTCATCCTTCTTGACATTTCTTTTTGACAGTTGATTATTCTTCCTGGTGACTCAGAGGTAAAGAATCTGCTCACAATGCAGGAGACCCGAGTTCCATCCCTGGGTCAGGAAGATCCCCTGGAGAAGGAAACGGGTACTCATTCCAGAATTCCATGGGCAGAGTGGCCTGGTGGCCTACAGTCAATGGGGTTGCAAAAAGTCAGACACGATCTAGCAACTAACACACATCCTTCCTTCTTGAAACTCTCTTCCCTGGTTTTGCGATACTGCAGCACCCTGTTTTCATCTCTTCTACAAACTGCTTTTCCTTTCATTCCATTCATGGCTTTTTCCAGCAACACTCCAAAATAAGAAGCTCCGCAAGCCTGTCTTACTGGCAAGTCCTTTTTTGATAAATTTTCCTATTTACCCTTACATTTCAATTATCACCTTTATGTGAGTGATCCCCAAGATTACATTCAGCCAGCATCTCTTTTGTGAACTCCTAACCTATATTTTCAAATGCCAACATGACATGGCTACCTTAGTGCTCCTCTGGCATCTCAAACACATGTCTAAACTTACCAGCTCCTGCAGAAAATCCACTTTTCTGACTTCACTTTTTGGTTAATCATTGAACATGTTCCCAGTCAGCTATGACAAGAGACTCTGAATCATGTTCTTTGTCTAACTTCCTTTCCAAAACTTTCAATCAGTCATAAAATTCTTTCGATTTTTCCTGTTCAAAGGTGCATTCAGCTGTCACGACCTTCCCCTCACCATCACCTCCACCACTATAGTTAAGGCTGTCATCACTCCTCACCCGCACAGTCACGATCAGTTCTTAATTGGTGTCTCTCTCCAGTTTCCCCCCCAATCCAATCTATCCTATTCAGTGCTGCCAGAGCAATTAAAAAAAAAAAAAAAGGCTCTGATCCTAATGCTTCCCTGATCAAGAATTTCTAGTGGTCTAATTGTCTCTAGAAAATCTAGACTTCTTAACCTGGCATTTGAGAACTTCATAGTTTGGGCCTCAAACATGTACTTTTTGGTCTTACAAATATATCAACTTTCTGTTTCTATGGCTGAGTTTTAAGAATATGGATTCTGAAGCCAGCTTGTTAAGTCTGAATCCTGGCTCTTATTGGCTGTGTCACCATGGACAAGTTCCTTCACTTCTCTGTGCCTCAGTTTTCTCATTATAATATGAATAGTAACACAACACTGCTGTGAATATGAAACATATAAGGACTACTTAGAAAAGTGAATGGCACATAGTAAACTCCGTATAATATGTTTCATGGAACAAATAGTTACATACGCCTACACTTATGTACATATGCCAGAAACTCTAAGGACCTGGGGATGTCAGTAAACAAAACAAACAAAAATCATTGCCCTTGTGGGTCTTACATTCTGTAATAAAAATAAAAATTATTAATTATACATAATTCTATTTCTGGAATACCCTCTTTCTGCATTATCACCTTTAAAATTCTACCTTTCCTTCAAGACCCACTAAAATTTCTTACCCCTTGAAATCTTACCTTAAAAAGGTTCCCATCTGAACACCTCCAACTCTTTAAATCTTAACTATATTAACAGCATTTATCACATTCTACAATTCTATCCTGTACTATGAAATATCAAACACATCAAATATTATGCTTAGTTGCACATGTTTTTAAATTTTTCTTGATGGATTATAATGTCAGCTTTATCCCTATTCATCCTTGTAAATAGTATAGCATGCTGGACCTTATACTCAAGCACACAGTAGATGCTTCATAGATGTTTCTTGGATGAATGTAGGTAAAGAACTCTTTGCATGGGTTTTCATTTGACCTCAATTAACCTTATCTTTTTAAATTGAAAATAATACATTTAAAATATAGAACATTTTATTTTCAACTTTGGAAATATCAAGTATCGGTATCAAATATTTATTGTTCACAACTTGACTTTATTCATCACCATCATTTAGCTTCTTGTTTACTAGTAAACCAATCTTTGTTGTTTGGTTTACTAACTATACTCTACAGTATATTAATGTCCCGGGTTACCACTGTTTGAAAAGTGCCCTTAAGTTTTTGTTAAAGAAGCCATTGTGGACAGCATATATTTTAATTGTTGTATTTTCTGTGGTCATACAGATTTTTCCCATTTCTTACTTCTGATCATGATAAAAAAAAAGCCCAGGTACTCACTGGCAATTTTCTGGTTCATTACTTATTTACTTTCCTATTCCAAAAAACTGTAGATGTTTGACTTGTTTCTATGACATCTGAAAGAAAAATTCAGCTTCTCCAGCTATGGCTAGGAAGACCAGACCAACTGCAGATTCCTCCCTACTTTCTAGTCTATCTTTGCACAATGCTACAGTAAAATATAGACTACCCTATATTTAAAAAAAACTCCTTTATACCACTTCACCTTGCTAAGCCATCTTAACTATTGCTTTTATCCAAGCAGCACCCCATCAGAATAGCATGATTCTCTTCTCTCTCTTTTTCTAAATAACAAGGCCAACACAATGGATTTTAAATAATGACCAAGGATTTTTTTATTCATTAAGTTCCAGTGTCATTACAGAAAATGTTATGGTACAGAGTTGTTTAACATTGTTTTTTCTTTGCTCTTGATTTCCACATGAATGCTGGTAACACTAATATCTGTACAAGATCAGTCTTTGATTTTATTTTTTGTTCTGTACAATTTTAAATGTATTGGTTAAAAAGGCTGTCAGCACTTAAGGAAGCATTTCCCCCCCAGTTTGTTTGTTCAAATAAAAGGTATCCAGTTACTGCCCAAGAGTACTGTGCCACGAGGCTACTGGGATGAGAGCCGCTCCTCGCCCGCCGATGGCTCTCCCGGAGGCCGGGCAGGGCCGCCACCCAGCCACTCTCTGCTTGGCACTGTGCACATAAACACGATACAGGATCAAGAACAAGCGGAAGCTCTCTGTAAAGCAGTTATGAAGCATACTAAGAAGGGAAATCCAAGTGTTGCCTACGCTAGTATAAATAAGCAGACAGCCTTGATTTAAGAGCATAAGTAGTTGTATTTTAAAGATGAGAAAAACACAAGTTCTGCAGGCACCTACTGCTGTCTACTAAAAGCTATCGCTATCAGACCTAGCATTGAACACACAAAGCAATTTGCAAGAAAGGAAAAATTTGCTTTGATATAATCAGAATAGAGTTGTCTGTTAAGATTTATTTTTAGGTGTTTTTTTCTTTAAAAGGTATTTAAATTCTTTTGAAATATAGTTCAAGATGTTGACTATACAGATCAACTTTTATCCAAATCAGAAAAACTAGCTGTGCCGCTGCATATTACAGGATACAGTCGATGATATGTGGACATGCATCAGGGCTTTCTCGCACCGGCGACCATCATAGCCGCCCGATGACCATGACGTCCACCACCTCGCCCTTGTGGAGCTCCACGTACTGCTCTGTCTTTGGAGGAAGCATCAATAAACCGTTGGCGCTGCGCATGCTCATCAGACGGCTGCTCATCTGATTACCTAGGAGGAAATACCTTATTACAGTGGCAGCGGCATCACAGTGTATACACATGGAGCCTTTGTAGTTCTTCTCAAAATAAAAACTGACGAACAGAAACACAGGTCTTCAAGAGGAAGAAAGATGATCAGACTTCCCGTATCTTTTTCAGGTGACCTAGCTACTGTATCCTACTATCTTCTCACTGAACTTTAAAAAATAAACATTAAAGATTATTGTTTAAGAGAACGAAACCAAAATTTTTACAGCACTATGGAAAATGCCATTGAATTTCTCAATTCAGGGTAATGTGTGATGTGTGTCTAAAAGAGAGGTTTTTAAAACCTATTAAAATAATTATGATAATAACAGCAGTGGCTACCATTTCTTTTGTATTCACTTAAGTACCAGACAAGGTGGTAGGCATTTTACTCAACTACTTTATTTAATTCTCGATACCTCAAAAAGAGGTTAGGTAACTTGCCTATGGTCCTACTAACTAGTTGGTGGCCAATTGGCAAGCAATCTCTGATGGCAAAGCCCATGTACTTACTCACTGTGCTAACTGATATTTGCACTTAATAGGATCTTTGTTTAAATTTTTTCTGGAACTGCATCAAAAGTCAGGTAAAATATGACTAGAGAAGTTGGGGATAAAAATTTAAAGTCTATATCAAGTAACTACAGAACTCAATTATCCAAGTTGATTTCTGAGTCCTTAGAGAGAATCACACTCTAATTGGGTTTTAATGTCACATTTTAGCGTGGCATAGCCACAGTCCTCTCCTTTTCCTAAAACCAAAGTTATGCTTAGAATTTACTGGTTGAATAAAGAGATAAAAATCTTCTGTAATTCTAGATTTGTATTTCAAACGTTTGTCTAGAAATACAGTTCCAAGGCATAACTAAACAATAATTAGTCTTTACTCTTGCCCTGTTATGTCTCACTGTTTAGGAATAACTTAACATCTAATCTCTCAGAAGGGAAAATGTACAATAATTACAAAATTAGATATACTCAAGGAAGGAGGTTATACACAAATTTGTGTTCTAACAGAAGGGGTGCAAAGAGATACCTGCAGGTGTGAAGGACTAACCTGTACTCTGTGCCCAAGGGAGTGGCTCTTGGTGATGCCAAGTCAGTATACACCGGTGGTATTCCGGGCGAGGATCTAGCTTTACATCACATGATAACTATAGAAAAAAGAGGAAAGGAAAACAAACTCAATCACTCTTAAACTTGATCATTTCTTAAAACTATAGGGTGGTGGTGGTCATGCAAAGAGTGCATCATGGACAGGGAAATATCCTGGCATTCTGCTGTCTCCACCACTGCCACCTTAGGTTCTTAATACAGGAAGTCCAGAGGTTGGGTTGCTCTGATAAAAAGAGAAAAGGAGGCTAAGAAGTTGGTATTTGCAGTAGGGAAAAGGGTAGATGAAAAATACAAAATCTACTTTTGAAGTCTAATTTGACCTATGAATTGAGAAATTAAGGCAGATATTTTAACACTGAGAGTAAAGGAGGTAGACCTCAACAAACAAGCTCAATATACATTTATCTCCCCATCCCTTTGTCCATCTATCCATCCATCCATCCAGCAAACAGATTTACTGCAGTGCTAATTTAGCAACTCATTCATATACTTATCTTTAATATAAAAGGGACAGTTACTTTCTTTCGTTTTTTAGATTTTCATTGGAGTACAACTGATTTACAATGTTGTGTTAGTTTCATGTGTAAAACAGAACAAATCAGTTACACACATATAGACTCATTTTTAGATTTATTTCCACGCAGGCCATTAGAGAGTATGGAGTAGAGTTCCCTGTGCTCTACCATAGGTCCCTGTTAGTTATCTATCTTATATATGCTAGATACACAGTGGTGTGTAGGTCATCCTCATCTTCCAGTTCATCCCTTCCCTATCCTTACTCTCTGGTGGGCTTCCCTGGTGGTTCACTGGTAAAGACCCTGCCTGCCAAGGCAGGAGACGTGGGTTTGATCCCTGGGCTGGGAAGATTCCTTGCAGAAGAAGTGGCAACTCACGCCAGTATTCTTGCCTGGGAAATCCCACGGACAGAGGTCGCAAAAGAGGTGGATACCACTTAGCAACTAAACAACAACACAACCTCCTTACTCCCTGGTAATCATAAGTTTGCTTCCTACATCTGTAAGTCTATTTATGTTTTGTAGGTAAGTTCATTTGTACTTTTTTAAGGTTCCACACATAAGTGATATCATGATATTTGTCTTCCTCTGTCTGACTTACTTCACTCAGTGTGATAACCTATAGGTTTATCCATGTTGCTGCAAATGGTGTCATTCCATTCTTTTTTATGAATGAGTAATATTTCATAGTGTATTAAAAAGCAGAAACATTACTTTGCCAACAAAGGTCCATATAGTCAAAGCTATGGTTTTTCCAGTAGTCACATATGGATGTGAGATTTGGACCATAAAGAAGGCTGAGTGCAGAAAAATTGATGTTTCTGAACTGTGGTGTTGGAGAAGACTCTTGAGAGTCCCTTGGGCTGCAAGGAGATCAAACCAGTCCATCCTAAAGGAGATCAGTCCTGAATATTCATTGGAAGGACTGATGCTGAAGCTGAAGCTCCAATACTTTGGCCACCTGATGTGAAGAGCCAACTCACTGGAAAAGACCCTGATGCTGGGAAAGATTGAAGGCAGGAGAAGAAGGGGGTGATAGAGGATGAGATAGTTGGATGGCAAACTGACTCAATGGACATGAGGTAGAGCAAGCTCTGGGAGATGGAGATGGACAGGGAGGCCTGGTGTGCTGCAGTCCATGGAGTTGCAAAGGGTCGCACACGACTGAGTGACTGAACAACAACAATTATTGTAATTAGGCTTTCTCTTTGGAATCTAGACTAAAATTCAATTAAAGGGTGTTTCTCCTTAATTAAATCACACTCAACTGTTTCATTTGACATTACTTATGTTTATACCCTATTTCGTATCTACTGTGGGGGATAACTTGCCCCTGTTCCTAATTTATTCTGTGCTTACCTGAGGACAAAAATCTCTGTCTTTCAACCTCTCCCCATGGGTACGTGTGTTTTCCAGTTCTAAGCCATAAGAACTATCACACGGTCGTGCCATTTGCTACATGTTTGAGCTTTTCCCCAGCACTGGCGCTGACTGGCTCACTGCAGTGCAGTGCAGCAAACACTAGACTGTGAAGACACCAGCACCTAGGTTCTACTCCCAGCCTTACTGTTAACTGGTATGCTGAACTGGAAAGTTATTTTGCTTCCCCATACCTGTTTATTCATCTACAAAATGGGACTGTTTGTTTTAAAGGAGTATATTTATGTTAATTTAATAAATAAGAACTGCATCAATTTGAAGCGAATGAATTTTTTTCACAGCCTCACAAAGAGCTGTTCCTTTTGTAGCAAGAGATGAAGCTAATCAGGGTTTTGTGGTATTTTACTGAAATGCAGAATACTTTATTCACTAATATATTTAGTTGTACTGACATTATAATTATGGTATATTACATCAGTTAGCTTAAGAAAGCACCTATTTACTATGAGCATCAGTGCTTAAAATAATGATGTACCATGATGTACCATGGTACATACATAATAATGATGTACCATGATGTACCATGGTACATACATAATAATGATGTACCATATATATTTTGGTGGAAGAACATTGCAAATTGTGGATGTTTTACTTTTTTTCCACTCATTCAAAATTGGGCAGTGAGCTATGGACTAGGAGTCCTCTGCTTCTTTTGAGTATTTTTCTGGCACATAGCAGTCACTCAAGAGATAAAATTGTATTATTTGGTGTGGTATTATATGGTATGCTCTACATGTAAATATCTAATGGAGAGAATTAGAAAAGGAAAAAAAGAAAGGTCAATGAAGTGAGATGAAAAGCCACAGACTGGGAGAAAACACTTGTACAAAGCATGCCTGATAAAGACCTGTTATCCAAAATAAACAAACAATTCTTAAAACTCAACAGTAAGAACATGAACAATCCAATTAAAAACTGGGCAAAAGAACTGAGCACTATATCAGTGAACATACATATATGAGAAGTAAGCATATGAAAAATGTTCAACATCATACAGGGAACTGCAAATTAAAACAACAATGAGATATCACTAGATATCTACTAGAAAGGCCAAAAATCCAAAACACTGGCCACACCAAATCCTATTGAGAATGTGGAAGAACAGGGACTCATCGCTGGGGCAGGAATGCAAAATGGTACAGCTACTTTGGAAGACATTTTGGCATTTCTTACAAAACTAGATATATCTTATCATACAATCCAGTAATCACATTCCTTAACTTAGTATTTACCCAAGTGAACTGAAAGTTTATGTTCATACAAAAACTTGCACACAAATATGTTTAGCAGCTTTATTCATAATTGCCCAAATTGGAAGCAACAAAGATGCCCTTCAGTAGGTGAGTGGATAAACGGTGGCATATCCAGAGAAAGGAATATTATTCTGTGCTAAAAAGAAATGAAAAGATGAAATGACTTTTCATCTAGCCATGAAAAGTCATGAAGGGAACTTAAATTCATATTACTAAGTGAAAGAAGACAGTTTGAAAAGGTTACATACTGCATGATTCCAAAAATATGATCTTCTGGAAAAGGCAAAGCTATGGAGACAGTAAAAAGACCAAGGGTTAGTAGGGAGGGAGGAATGAACAGGCAGAGTGCAGAGGGTTTTTGGGTTGTGAAAGTGTATGACACTACAATGGTGCATGATATGTGCTAAGTCGCTCAGTCGTGTCTGACTGTGACCCTATGGACTGTAGCCTGCCAGGCTCCTCTGTCCATAGGATTCTCTAGGCAAGAATACTGGAGTGGGTTGTTACGCCCTCCTCCAGGGGATCTTCCCAACCCAGGGGTCAATACATGTAATTGTACATTTATCAAGACCAATGGAATACACAACAGCAAGAGTAAACCCTAATGTAGACTACAGACTTTGGGGGATAATGAATATGTCACTGTAGGTTCACTGATTGTAACAAATGTACCACTGTGGTACAGAATGTCAACAGTCGGGGAGATTGTGTGTGTGTATGGGGCGGGGAGGAGAATTAATATAGGAACTCTCTGTATGTTCTGCTTAATTTTGCTGTGAACCTAGAGGTGCTATAAAAAACAAAATTTGTTAACTAAAAAAGGGGAGAATATTTTGCCCTTCCTCTTTGTCCTGTCCATCTTTTAGAGAAGTGACCTTGAAGAATTATCTAGCATCAGTTCAGTTCAGTCGCTCAGTCGTGTCTGACTCTGTGCGACCCCACGAATCACAGCACGTCAGGCCTCCCTGTCCATCACCAACTCCTAGAGTTTACTCAAACTCAAGTCCATCAAGTTGGTGATGCCATCCAGCCATTTCATCTTCTGTCATCCCCTTCTCCTTCTGCCCCCAATCCCTCCCAGCATCAGGGTCTTTTCCAATGAGTCAGCTCTTCGCATCAGGTGGCTGAAGTATTGGAGTTTCAGCTTCAACATCAGTCCTTCCAAAGGACATTCAGGACTGACTTCCTTTAGGATGGACTGGTTAAATCTTGATTCCAGCTTGTGCTTCTTCCAGCCCAGCGTTTCTCATGATGTACTCTGCATATAAGTTAAATAAGCAGGGTGATAATATACAGCTTTGATGTACTCCTTTTCCTATTTGGAACCAGCCTGTTGTTCCATGTCCGGTTCTAAATATAGTGTAATAATGTTGTTATGGAGCCATTTATATGGTATAAAAGGGCACAAAGAAGTAAATAATCAGCCTTCTTCTGGACACTGGGAAAGGAGTCACAGAGGGCATGATGATGCCTGAGTCTTATGACAAAGGAATTTTCTAAGCTGAGAAAAGAGAAGGTGGTGGTTAGGGGAGAACCTCCTAGGAAGGCGATCTCATGCTCATCCTGGAGGCAGTAAAAAGCTTGGTATGGTCAGAATGCAGGATGGGAAGCAGGTAACACTGGAGGGAAAACAGGCCTTGGGATGGAGGGCCTCCTATGCTCACTTGAGTGTCTGAATTTAACCCTGGGGTCATGGGAAGCATTGAATAATTTTAATTGGAGGTGCTGACAATGATTAGTTAGACAGAAAAGGGATTTAAAAGGAAGCAAGATTAGAGGAAGAGAAACCATCAAATGTTGGTGCCATTATTCAAATCAGGCTTATTTGGCCACAAAACACAGGGGATGCGGATGGTGGAGGGGACGTTAGGAGAATGGTGAAGATCTGGAAGGCTGGAGTAAGGAATGGAAAAAGCTGATCCACAAGATATACCAAGGTTCTTCAAGGGTAATTTTGGCCCCTCCTGAGATTTGTAAATTGGAAGTGATAACTCGAACAGATGTACACTATTCTCCAGTTGTACTCAGTGCCCTGGGAATAAAAGTGAAGGATAAAAAAGGGAAAACTGATTCAACTTTGTGGGTTCTTAGAGTGATTGTAGTAGAAGGAAGGAAAGGCAAAAAAAAAAAAAATTGAGGGTGTTAGAAAAAGTTGAAGTGATTCACTATAGGATTTAGGCTGGATGAGAAAAAGGGTTAAAGCCAGAAGGGGCTTATGGACCGAGGAAAAAGGATGAGGTGTTTAAATTCTTTTATATCTACTGGTAGGTAACTTGTCATTGTTCTTGAACTGTATACCAGAGTTGGTGAGTTTTGAGATGGAGCACTTAACGGCATTGAAAAGGACAGGCATATGAGCAGCTGAAGCAAAAATAAAATTATCAAGAATTATGGAAATAAAGCAACTGATGAAAAGAGGTCAGGCACAAAAGAAGACTTTTAGACAACTGCCAAAACCTGAATGTGTTTGGAATGTTTGCTGGTGATAATATGGGAAGGTAAAAGCTCCAAGAGACTCGGGGGAGAGGCTGGACTAATTGCTGCATGGACTGGAGAAGAGAGTTTCTGAGAAAACAGATGACAAAAGGGGATTCTATTTGAGTGGAGGCCCCAGGTGACATGCTCTAGGCCCTGGTTGATTTTGAGGGCCTGGACTCTGTTTGAGTCCTGTCAAAGCTTCCAAAGAGTGGTTTAAAAGGAGTTTGACACTAACTCTTAAAAGTACAGAGAAGTTATAAGCACTGATTTCATTAGTCTAAAAGAGAGGGGCTTGAGCTCATTTGCCCCACAAATCATCTGAAATTTATCACATAACATTAAAATTCTTATGTATGCTGGTACAGATCAGTTTCAACTTCATTTTCCCAAAGTTTCTATAATTTAGTTATAATTTTCATCTCCTAGTAATAATAAAACTGGCTTACACTTCTTATAAATCATAGACAGTTCTATCATTTTCAATATCTGTTTTAAATCAGTCTATAGGCCATAATATTCTCACATAAACAGGCATTTAATTATATCTTGTGATGATCAATGACTAATCTTTTTTAAAAGCTGAATAATATTCCATTGTACACATATACATCATTTTCCTTATCTATTCATCTGTTGTTTGAAATTTGGGTTGCTTCCTTATCTTTGTGATAGAGGACAATGCTACAACAGATGGTGGGGTGCACATATCTCTTTGAGATCCTGATTTCAATTCTTTTGGACATATATCCAAAAGTGAGATTGTTGGATCATATGGTAGTTTTACTTTTAAGTTTTGAGGAAACTCCATACTGTTTCCCATGAGGCAACATGGATATTCCTAGAGGACACCATACCAAGTGAAATAAGCCAGTTACAAAAGTACTGCGAGATTCCACTTACAGGAAGTATCTAAAAGAGTGAGACTCACAGAGGCGAAGGACAGAACAGTGGTTGTCAGGAGCTGAGGGATGGAGGAAATGGGGGATTGTTGCTCAATGGATATACAGTTTCTGTCATGCAAGGCGAATTAGTTCTAAGGCATCTGCTGTACAGTGTATTACCTACAGTTATGTGGTACTGTGCATTTTAAAATACTTTAAGAGGATAGTTTTCACATTAAATGCTCTTACCATGAAACAAAAAAATCAAAGAACACAAGGGGATTTCTGGAGGTGATGGACGTCGTTTACTACCTTGACTGTGCTGATGGTATCATGGGTGTTTGTGTTTATCCAAATTTTTCAAAATGTCTACATTAAATATGTGTAATTTGTGTACATAAATTATACCTCAGTAAATCTTAAAGAAAAGCACTGGCTGAGTATTAGTTTAAATTGCCAGGAAAATTGTTCACTAGTTACACAGAAACTATATTACATAGTTAGTTGACTAGCAGTAAACCAAGCTGAAGTTAGTGTGGTGAGAAGGGGACTGTAATTTCTGTGACTTTTACTGCAGGTCTAACTCCTCAGTCTTAGTAGTCCTTTTCCAAACAATATGGTCACCCTTTCCTTTCCTTCTGTTTCCTTCTGTCTCTTTCTGGTCCTTTACTTGTCTTTTTCTCAACTGTTTAAAATTGATCAGTGGGGTCACAGAAAAAGTGATCAAATAAATTGCTATTCTCTGTAAGTTTACCTAGGGAAAAGGGACTTTTTATCCCTCTTTCCATAGGGTTTAGTATTAGTTTAGTGTTCTATTGACCATTTTGTCATTACGTATCCATTCCTAAATGGACTTTTAGCTGACGAAAATTATTCCCTTTAGGAGTCGTTGAATAATGTGGGAAGGGAATAAAGGGGACTCCTTTCCCTTTGTTTTCTTTCATGAAGAGAGGAATATAATCACATTTTCTCTCGCAATTGACTCAATGGACATGAGTTTGAGCACGCTCTGGGAGATGGTGAAGGACAGGGAAGCCTGGCGTGCTGCAGAGGGTTGCGCAGAGGAGGACCTGGCTGACTGACTGAATAGCAACAATAGAAAATTCTAGATGTTTGTTTTGGGCAGTTAAAAAGTCATATCCTTATTTGTTATCAGGCTTCAGTTTTGGTTTCTGGTCATTAGAAAACGTTACCCTGGCTTTGATGATGGTTGGCCGAGGATCCAAGATGCCTTGCATCTTTCTCAGTGCAGGCACAACAAAGAGATTGCAGGTGACCACGGCTGACACAGGATTCCCTGGAAGTCAACCAAGCAGTTATTTATAGTACACACATAGAAATCTGCCAGAAAATCATGAATGTCTATACCTTCAGCTATCAAAGGGAGTGAAGTGACAAACCACTAGCCTTCCTCTTTTGAATCACCTTGAATCCAAAAGGACGCCAGAATAGAGCTAGACTCAACCAAATGGCACAGGGTGTGTAAACATTTGGATCTACCAGTGAAACGCAGCCTTCTGATGCACAGAAGCTGCTGAACACCATTTATTTTTGCTTTCCTGAGAGCCATACACTGACGCCCTTACTAATCAGTTTGGACTTGCTATTTTTAAAATGGCATAAAATTACATAGTAACACATACTCAGTGCGAAAAAATATTAGCAAGTAGGATAAGCATAAAGAAATTTATCCATAATCCTCCCTACTCAGACATTTCTTTAAATTAAAAAATATAAAACTAAATGATTTAAAATGTGAAGGATTTGAAGGTGAATACTGTTAGGAACTGAATTATGTCTCCCTCAAATTCATATGTTGAAGTCTTAACCCTCCAGTGTGACTGTATTTGGAGATAGGACTGTTAAAGAAGTCACCAAGTTAAGCGGGCTGCCCAGGTGGTGCCAGTGGTAAAGAACGCCCCTGCCAAAGCAGGAGAGGACAGAGGCACAGGTTCAGTCCCTGGGCGGGGAAGACCTCCTGCAGAAGGACATGGGACGCCACTCCAGTACTCTTGCCTGGAGAATCCCATGGACGGAGGGAGCCCGGTGGGCTACAGTCCATAGGGTCGCAAATAGTCGGACACAACTAAAGCAACTTAGCATGCATGCGAAGTTCAACGAGGTTGTAAGGGTGAGGTTCTAATCCAGTAGGACTGGTGTCCTCATAAAAAGAAAAACAAACATGAGGAGTGTACACAGAAGAAAAGGTCATGTGGAGGCGTTGGGAGAAAGTGGCCACTTGCAAGCAAGGGAGAAAGATCTCAACAGAAACCAACTGAGCTGGCGCCTTGAGCTTAGACTTCTAGTCTCCAGAACTGTGAGAAAAGAAATTTCTGTTGTTTAAGCTACCCAGTCGGTGATATTCTGCTTTGGCAGCTTGAGCAGAATAATACAAATGCCAAGTTCTTTTACAGTTAAAAGAAAAATTTGAGGAATTCAATTGTACCTCTCCAAGAAGAAATCTGGGCGTGTCATGCACTTCAAAGGCAGGTAGGGTGAGCTATGAAAAAATGATTGAGCTGAGAATAACAGATTTAGTTTCTTGTGTGGTATTATTAACTAACAAAGCTGCGTGACCCTGGCAAGAGTTCCAAACCCTTCTAGGTCTAACTTTACTTAATCACAAAATAAAAAGTTTGGATGATATAAGTCTCAATATCCCTGTTGGTTCTAAAATTATAATTTTACTAATACTTTTATACAGTGATATGTGACTCTGTGTGTGTGTGTGTGTGTGTATATAGTGGGGGTAGGGAATGGCTTGTGCTTTTAGATTCCGTTGGCCTGGTTATGTGATGCTAATTTCATCATCAAAATAAAAGGCAATGGCTGGTTTGGCCTATTACTAGCTAAAACCATACCTTTAATTTTCTTCTACCTACAAAAGCAGTTAAAAAGAGATCTTTTTAAAGTTGTAAAGTGATGAGTGACACAATTATTTCAGTAGAAAAAATTTTGTTTTTTCTGAGTTATTCCATAGGATAGCAGACTCCTAGGGACAATTGACTGCTTTATTCTTGAATCAAAATATAAACATATGGAAATTATCCTGGGAAAGCAAAAAAAAAGAAAAGGAGAAAAAAAAAAAGAAAAAAAGCTCAACAATGATTACAGTATTCCTGTAATGCTACTGCTTGATAAAATTACTCTATAAAAAATGAATTGCTCGATGTAAAAAAAAAAAAAAGAGAGACTGGAAGAACCAACACCAAAAATCTGAAAATAGTGGTTATTTTGGGTGAGGGAGATTATGGATAACATTTCTTATTGCTTATCTAAGTTATTTTCTAATGTTCTACAGTGAACACATGTTACTAGAACAAGTCAAAAAAAAGAACAAGTAGATACACAAGACTTTTAAACTGCTTTAGAACTTATCAAGATTAGTAATGGCTTTAAATGAAGCACTTTAAATGAGCAAAATCCAATTCTGAGTTTTCAAATCCTTGTAAAAAGAACCACTTTGCTGGTTTTACAATCTGAACATGTGAATTGTTGCTGCCCTCTTTTGGTACCTTCAGGCTGAGCATAGAAAATCTCAGAGGAGCAATTTGAAAAGCAGGCTATTTAACTGTAACTTCTTTGGCAGATAAACAACACTTTGTTAGTAATGGCAAAACAGGCTCCCACTAAAACATACTTCATAGGTCAAGTCATATCTTCTGTAGACAACAGTCTCTTCCAAGCAAAATGAAGCTAGAAGAGGTTATCCTTTCTCTATATAATGGTGTTCAGAGTATCTACGGATATTAAAGGCCTTAATGTGTCTTATACCACAGATAAATTTTGAGAACTAAAAGTTTACTTACATGTCTTCTCTCTTAATACGATAGAAATCAAACCTCTTTTATGCTTATAGATAAGGGGCTTTAAAAATGTTTTTAAAGTTCTAAAATTTTTTGCCTGCCTTTTCTTTCTATCTCTATTTTGAGATTTATTAACTATAAAAAAGCAAATAAGCAACCCAAAGCCCCCAGACTTGTACATCTGAAAGGAATAAGCAGGTTATTTTCTGAAGGAATCTATGCCAAAAAATAGAGAATGGAACATTGCTTACAGATCAGAGGACAATTTTAGAAGTTGAAAAAATAACAAGTAAATGCAATGTTGTATTTCTTTTGTTGTTGTTGTTTAGTATCTGCAGGGGTGATTCAAGGCCCTTTGAGCACAATACTCTAGTTGCGGGAGATGATTATACTGTTAACTTTGACCAGTGCCCTGTACGTGCCCCAGAAAGATGTAGTAACAGGTAACGCTTATCATCTTAGGGTCTGAATTGTGCTTTGAAAGGTACTATCTAATTTGACTTTTGCATAAGCCCTATGAAGCATATATTTGCCTCATTTTATAGATGAAGAAATAGCCTCAGAGAGATTATGTGATTTGTTCAAGGTAATAACAGTATGCAAAGCTGGGGCTTGGGCCCAGGTCTTTCAGATTCCAAATCATGTGCTCTGATAGGGGACTGGTCACCTGGGGCACAAAAAGATTTTGGTTATTTTTCCCAAAAAAGCAAAAGAAAGTATTTAAGTTATTCTTACCTGGTAGTGCAAAGATTATTTTTCTTACACCATCAATATCCAAAGTTGCAAATGTTGTTGGCAGGCTAGAGGAAAAAACAGGATATTTGTTAGTGACTGCTAAGCAATGAGTAAATTAAACACTGCAGTTTTCTTGTTATATGGTTCTTCATACAGATCACTTACTCTCTAAAAATACTTTTCTGTTGACTCTCCTTTAAACCTTTATAACCTGCAGTGAAGCACAATTAAATTAATTTGTTTTTAGCATCTTCTGTTTTTAACCAACACTTCCTCGTTTTCTGTAGTTTAGTTTCCTTCTTGCCAGTGTCAAAGAAGTGTATCCCAAAACCCAGTTTCTCTAGCCCTTTACTTTAACAATTTCTAATGCGTTTATTTCCTGCTGACCAGTAACAATCATTCTTTTCATCAGATGACTATCTGGTAAGACACGTCTATCAGATAACCGCCTATTGTTGAAGATGAGTATTTCTCAGCCCTTTAAGACTATACTCAGCAATAAACATAAAAGCTTCCCTCCTATGAAGGGAATGTTTTGAAACATCAAAATGAAATATCATGACTAGAACAAAATTAAAGCAATAATAATTAAAAAAATTTTTTTTAATTAATTTATTTTAATTGGAGCCTGATTACTTTACAATATTGTGGTGGTTTTTGCCATACACTGACATGAATCAGCCACGGGTGTACGTGTGTCCCCTGTCCTGAAACCCTTCCCACCTCCCTCCCCATCCCATCCCTCTGGGTTGTCCCAGTGCATCGGCTTTGAGTGCCCTTAAAGCAACAATAATTTTAAAATGTTTTCAAATTATATTTCCTTACGGGTCTGACAGGAATCCTCATCACGGGGGTGTGGAGAGGGGTGTGAGTGGCATGAAGGGGGCAGGTGGTAAATGAGTGATTTTTTTTTTATCGACTACTCTTCACACAGAATCTCAGCTAAAATTTTTATTATATAAATGAAACTTGAATGATGCAAAATTTTTAGGGAATGCTGAAATTTCCACATAACTAAAATAACTACCCAAACTGTTTTCCTTTTAACTATTTTCACTGATGGGCTGAATGAGAAAAGGATCACTCACGCATAACCTTTTGCAGTAATACGATGAACATTAACATTTTTGATGAATCGCAGCCATCATTATTAACCAATTCTGCTCTGCTATGATACAGTGATATTGGGTTACCAGAGTATTAAACCATAACACGACAGCATACGCTGCAGTGTTTCTACAGTTCTTGCTTCTGCTTTTTCTCCCCCTAGTGTTTTATTTTTCTGGGGTCCCCTTCATATGAGACTGCCATCATCTCGACCCTTAAAGCTGGCCTTAGGTTTGGGAAACAGAGAGTAGTAATAGTTACATTTTTAGAATGATAACAATGATAATAACAATAATAATAGAAACTACCACTTTTAAAGAAACATCTAAGCACTATATCCATTGCTTCATTTAAATCTTACAAAAATCCTATGAGGTGACAATTATTATTCCATTTTATAGATGATGAAAATGAGACTCAAGAGATTAAGCGATTTAACCAAAATCACTCAGATATAAAATGGGGAAACAAAGATTTGAACCAAGGTTTTTCTAACATTATGGTCCATAATTAGATAAGGCTCTCATAGGGTATGCTGTAAAGTGTTACTATACTGGTTTCCTAACATCTATTTTTGGCTACTGAGGCCTTTTTTGCTTACTTCCTGATTCTTTGATGTATTTTAGAAAACAAAGAGTAGACTGTCTTATCTATTTATAGATATGTTATTTGGCAATTGTTACTGTGTGATGAAAATAATTTCCAAGGTACATTTTGACAACAGCTATGTTCACTGCAGATGACCCATAAAAACCGTGATTGGTAGATCTGGTTGATAATATTCCAAATACTTTTTGAGTATATCTTTGTCTAAAATGGAAGAGGTTAATTGCATTCTGAATGCACTGTATGTGGGAAGAGCAAAGCTAAATTGTTCTTCAGCTTTTTATATTTCTTCTTGCTACTACTAAGTAGCAATTACTTTAAATTCTTATCTTCAGGCAAGTATAAAATTCTGGCCAATTAAAGGAAGCCCATTTAAAGTTCTAAACCACTTTTTTATAGCAAACTAAAACATATACTAAGAGTGAGGAGGGAATACATGACACCTTCCCTCTATGTATTTAAAGCTAATTTAAGTCATCTTTTGAATCTTGCAGACAGGTACAGTGATTTCTCTAAAGATACTTATTTTAAAAAGATTCTATTATGATAAAACATTTTGTAACTGTGCACTGCTATCATGATTGTCTTATTGCTAGACTGTGAAGTTTCTGTTTAGGATCCGGAAAGCTATTTCCTTAAAATTCAACACCTGTTGTTCCTTTTCCCTCTTGAGAGCAGAATGTAACAGCTTTCAGACTTTAAGGGAGGAGAATAAATAGTAGGAACTGATGAACTCCTATAGATGAAGTGAATGGTAATAACAGATTAAAAATAAAATGAGTACTTATTATATATCATGGGTGCTGAGGTTAATTTAAATAATAGATATTACACAAATACTTCTCCCCTAGAGGTGAGGGCAAGTAATGTCAGCTTCTTTCTCACTGCAGAGAAATAATCAATTCAATTTTTGCAGTTAGTGAGAAGTACATTGACATACTCATGGGATGTTCTCTGAATTCTAATCAAATTAGTACTGCCAATGGGGACAGGAATTTTAAAAAGTCTGTCTGTACTCATAGCATAAAGATATTTGCTTAAGACAAAATATTCTTAGTAAGAACGATCCCAATCCAACAGCTTCAATAGTAAAAAGGCCCTGTCAGTGGCGGCCATATTGGAGCAACTACAGAAATACAACACCAAGAATTCTGAATTCTATTAGATTGTGGAAAGGCTTTAGGGGTTATCTTAACTTGATACTTAAATATAAAGCCCGAACTCTGTCTAGAACTGACATGAGGTGCCCAATAAATCAGGGAGATCAGGAGGGCTGGTTTGACACTTAAAAAAGGCTTCTTTCTAGAAATTTCTGCTATTTCCTGGCTATTTCTGCTATTATGGCTCACTTGTAATAACTGGTAGCTCCCACCTCTACTCTCAGGGTTCACATGAGCACCCATCAGGGTATAACCCTGAACTAAAGCATCATCACTGTTGTCCCTGTTAGCATGGAGGTGTGCTGAAATGCTCACCCACACACTGAGGCCTTTCAACACTGTTTTTATAATGTTTATGTATCACAGACTTAGCAGCAGCAGTCTGAACAGACAGGCTGTTGCTTAAAGACAAGGCCACACATATTTTATCAACACCAATGTTTGCATTCTTTGAGGATTTATAATGGATTACAAAACCTCCAGCCATTCCTCAGGGAGTTATTAATTTTTAGGAGATATGCAAGATCTAGGTATGTGTTTACTTTTCTTTCCTCTTTGGAGGTAGTAAGCATTTTGAAATACTATTCATGAAGTATTCTTACAAAGAAAAAAACTGAATCTGAAACTAATTAAACTTTTAGGTCTAACTTCTAGTGTACAGAATATATTGGAGAGAGAGAGAAACAAGTCAAACACCACCACAAGGAAGCAATCAGCCAAACCTATTCACAAGGACAAAGGATTCAGTTTTTGCAACAAGTCAATGGCATACCAAAAATGTGGGAGTGGGGGCGGGTATTAAATGTTCTTGTTTAATAGAGAGTCAACAACCAAACACATTGAGTAGACCTAACTCAAATCCTAATTCAAACAAAACATATATAAGAAGGCATACTCTTCCCTGACATTTGGGAGACTTTTCAAATATGATCGGGGGATTAGATGATATTCAGGTGTTCTTATTTATTTTTTTAGGTGAGATAATACCATTGTGATTATATAAGATAATACTGCTGTTATTATTAATATTTGAGATGTATACTAAAATGCCATGTGTAGAATTTGTTTTAAAACAATCTAACCCTCTGGCCCCCCAAAAAAGGGAAAGAAAGGAATGAAAAAACAATTAAGGAGAAATGTTGATAGTTACTGAAGCTGGGTTATGAGGTATAAGGGGTTTCATTATACTCTCTGCTTTTGTGTATGTTTGAGAATTTTCATACTAAAATGTTTTTAAGTGAGAGAAAGAGCCAAAAAAGAGAAGGAAGGAACTAGACATGGGAATTAAAAAGAGAAAAGGTTTGGAAAGTTGCTTTGCTTCATTTTAAACCAGATCCAGTGTTTAATAAAGAAGATGAATTCCCATTTCAGATAGGATATATACTTTTTCAAAGAACTCTAATACTGTAACATTCCCTTATTAGAATAAATAATCCATAATAGAAAATGTAATAGGAAAGCATTTAAAAACTTTGTTAGTCAAAGCAAGCCAAAGCAGCCCATATAATAGATAACAAAATTATATTCATACCCTGGTTTCATAAAAACCCTGCCAAAATGGATCTGGGCATGAAGATCAATGTCCAGCACCTGCTTGAGATAGTCCTGCAAATATGAAAAAGAATCACTTTACTTTCAAACATTTTAATATCAGACTTTCAGACTTTTAAATGAAAAAAAAAGCATAAGATTGAAATGAAACACCTATTTTAGTGAAGTTGATTTATGACAATTATTTCTTCATTCCTCATTCATTTATTCATTCAGTAAATATTTATCGAGTATAATATATGTATGCTGAATATCAATCAATATACAGGGAGATGCAGCCTTGAACAAAAGAGGCAACGTTCCTTCCCTCATAAAAAGAACGTTCCAATAGGAGTAGTTAGAGAGTAAACCAAATAACCACATTAACATACAAATTATTACTTGCTAGGCTGTTGTCTCTCTTTTAGGATAGAATTTTGTGTCTGAGAAAGGATGTTAATAAATATGGTTAAGAAGTTGTGTTTGGGCAGAGGAGCCACGTGTATGCATCCCATGCTGTTCTCCTTAATGAGCCTGAACTAATGCGCGTTCCTTGAGGAGAGACTTGGACATTTACCCAAGATTACCAAGTCTAAATAAGTCAACTAACAACTTAGGGAGGGAGCTCTAAACAGAAAGTCAAGGGTGTTTAATTGCTCCAACTTCATATTCTGTGACTACAAACACAACCAACCTAAGGTTATGATCAACCCAGAGCAAACCAACAAAACCTGATCTTCAGAAAGGAAAAGCAACAGTGCCTTGTAGTTGGTTGTGTAGATATAAAGAGAAAAATAGCAGTTCAAAAAATTTCTCCAAAGTAATACAACTTTGTTGTATTTTTTGTAATGTAACTTTGTTGTATGTTGCTGAGTTTCCTGCTCACTAATTCAAGAGAGTCTAGTATCCTACTAAAATATTAAATATTTCACAAGTTATGAGACACTTTATTTTTAAAAACTATTTCCTTCTCTCCATCTCTACAGCCTCAGCCAACATCATCTCACCTGAATTACTGAAATAGGTCTCTCTGCCAATTCTCCAATTCATTCCCCCCACAGTCGTGAGACAGACAAATCTGATCAAATCACTATGTAACACTTCAATAATTCCATTGTCTCCAGAAATAAGTCTCATCTTTTAAATGATCATAGTTAGGACTCTTATATTGATATTTTCTAGCCTTTTGCAAATCATTGCTCTTATCAGGCAATCTGTTTCCCACCAGCCCCATTCCTCTTCCTCAATCTCTCTCAACATTTCTGCAAGTCTATATTGTTGCCAGTTTTCATACTTTCTTGCCTCAAATCTTTGAAAATATTCTCCCTTTTGTCTGGAATACCCTTTCTTCTGTCCTCCTCCCTCTATTCTCAATCTCAAATCTCCCCTGAATTCCCAGGGCTGGATGGTAGATTGATTACTGATTCATGATTATTTTTAGATTATATTATTAGATGAAATAATTTAGAATTTTCTTGATGAACTGAGCCATGTAAATTCAGAAATAGGAAATGTCCCTCCTCTTAATTTCTAGTAAGCCTTTTTACCTTAATTTTCTCTGATATCAAGACAGCCAACTAGCTGTTCTATACCTTTTTTCTCATCTCTTACTGTGTTCTGTGTAAGTAGCTGTGTTCTTATATTTAAGGTGGGTCTCTTATGAGCATCATACAATTTGTTGTTTTTTAAAATCTAGAATGACAGTTTTTAACTGGAGGACTCAGTCCACTTATACTTAATATAATTACTGCAATATATTTTTAATTTTATCTATCTGTCTTTATTTTTGGTTGTGCTGCGTCTCTGTTGCAGTGCCCGGGCTCTCTGGTTGCGGTGCACAGGCTGAGCAGTTGCCAGGTGTAGGCTTTGTCGCTCTGCAGCATGTGGACTCTTAGCTCCCCCACCAGGGACTGATCCCACATCCTCCACATTGCACAGCACATTCTTAACCACTGGACCATCAAGAAGTCCCTTATTACTGCTATATTGGGATTTAAAACTATTTGCCTCCTATTTGTTAGTTATTTGTCACTTCTGTTTTTATTTCCTTTTTTCTCCTTTCATGTCTTCCTTTGATTTGTCAAAATTTTTTTGTTTTTTAATTTTCTTTCTCTTCTATTTGCTTGTTAGTAACACATTCTCTTATTGGTTGCTTCAGAGATCACCAAATGCATTCTTAACTTACTATAGTCCATCATGATCTGGTATTTTTTATCACTTCCCCAAAATGTAAGAACTTTAAAACATGTTCACTCTATTTATTCCTCTTTGCTTTTTGTGCTATCTATTATAAAGTCTATATATACTATACAGACAATATATAGTCTATATTTAGTATATATTTATACACATGTAAACCTCAAGATATTATTTCATATAATCAACAATTCATTTACAGTTACCTACATATTAACCTTTTCCTTTGCCCTCTAGTCCTTTCTAGCATTTTCATGCTTCCCTAATCTTTCTTTTACATAGCTTTCATAGTTGTTCTTGGTGGGAGAGTTGGTCCAAATAAGCCACTCCATCATAGTAGAGGCAGAAATCTCCAGGCCTTTCTTTTTTTTTTTTCTGGTACAAAAACCATGTATTATTCCCCCCCTCACAAAATTGGGTGGCTGTATTACAGGAACGAAACCAGATCAAAGACATAAAAAGAAAAAGTCACCACTTATACTGAAATACAACAGTGTTAAGAGTTCAGGTATTCTGTAGAATTATTACCAGCACAGTTAAAATATTTCCATCTGGATCTTTTAAATTTGAAAGTGATCACATTAAAGACCTGAGGTTGCAAGAGACTACAGTATGAACGAGAATTCCATTTTCCTTTAAAGACCTCAGTGGAAAAGGTATTTGGAATGAATTTCCTTTGGGAAAGACTGTCCAGGCCTCTCTTTTATGCTCTTATAATACCAAGTCGTCCTGACACCACACACTTAGGTAATACTGCAACTGCCTGATAACTATCTGTATTCTTTACTGTACTAGATAGTTTGTAAGAACAGGAACCTTGTATATATATTTATAATGAGCCCATAGTGACACACACATGCCTTTCATTCATTAATTTGCTAGTTCAACAAATATTTCTGAGTGCCCACTATGTATCAGGAATTCTATTTGTGTTAGAGACTCACTAGTGAACCAGACAGACAAGGTCCCTGGCACAAAGATGTCCTGTTATAGTTTACTGCAGAGGGGAGACAGCCTAAAATAAGCAAACCAACAAATAGATTAACTATAAGATGTGGAACATACTCTGAATAAAAAAGCAGGTGCTAGGATAGAGAACAATGTGTGAAGTGGAGAATATGGAAAGACCACTTTAAAACAGGTGGTGAGGATGAGGAGGACTCAGTCATATGAAGTGTGGAGGGAATTCTTGGCAGAGAAAAGTATATACAAAAGCTTCTAGAGCAGTAAAAAGTGTGTCTAGAACTGAAAAGACAATAAAAGGTAGTGAATGAGCAGGGGAAAGGCATAAGGGGAGGCTGAAGAGACAGGTAGAGGCCATGCATGCAGGGCTCACCAAGGATAATGATACAGAGTTTGGAAAGCCATATACACTCATTACATATTTGCTAAATGAATGAAAGTATTTTATTTTTCTTGAAAAAAATCATCTCTGTTGTAAAAAATGCCCCCTTTCTTTTTGAACATGAAGAAATGCTTCATGTTACTTGTGACAGAAAGCTTGTACCAGACGTAGTAATGAAGGCTGAGAATCATCATTGGTCTTGTTTTTGTCTATCTACAGAAACAGCAAGGACCTCTGATGTTCTGAAAGCTAGATACACAGATATGAAGAGGAAACACGAATGAATGGAGACTGGTCCTTCCCTCAACTTAAGAGCAAACAATGTCAGAAAAATTGTGAAAGACTTTGAAATGGGTAAAAAAGATTATTTGAGGTCCAAATAACCTTCTGGGTTATTTGTGCCTTTCACTGTCTTTGAGCTATTCTACAAAAATTAGTCTGCAGAAAAATAATAGTGTAATAGTGAACATGATTAGCATCCAAAGAAATACAAATTAATTCTGTCAGTAGAGTTGTAATTGACTATTCTCCTCCAGATATAGAACAATTTTACATCTATTAGAAAGCTGATTTCAGCATTTTGGGTTACCTATCTGTGTCTGTGTTTTTTCAATTCTTAGAACCAGTTGTAATATCTTACTAGTTCCTTCACTAATTAATGAGCTAAATAAAATCTCTGACACATGTTAATTTTATAAAATATATATTTATGAGATGCATGATTTTATCTTTAAAAAACTATACCTTAACAATTCTGAAGGCTCCACAGAGACGACATACTGATTTATCTGACAAAGCCAAGTCAAGTTGATTGTCAGAAAAGTGTACGTTATGGGTGGTTTAAACCTGGACACATTTTTCCTTGGTTTCTGGAGTGAATGCCAAACAGCAATAAAACTTGAAAACTGCTAAATGTTGGTTTCTCTACTTTTACCTCCTCTATTAATTTTGGTTCTATTTCTGTTTCTATGCATGGCCATTAAGGTAGTCCCCCCTGTAGCAGCAGTGATTGAGAATTTGGTTTTATGGTCTCACCATTTGGTGACTCCTATAAATGGATGATTGAAATCTATTCTCTGTTGGGTAAGAGAAGACAGAGAATCTGGTTTCTTGGTTTTGTGAATTTATTTTTCTTATTGTCATTTTGAACCTACATCAAATTTATTTTTCTTATTGTCATTTTGAACCTAAATCAATGAAGAATTTTTCCTTCCTCTAGGAAGGAAAATAGTTGTTTGTTTGTAGACTGAGTATTTTTTGTTTGTTTCTGTGTTTACTCTTACCATGTCATTGAAATTGTGGAGATGAAGCTGTATATTCTTTACGTGGTTGTGTGACTACGTGTCTGATCCACAAAGCCATTTACCTTGCTTTAAGACTGTGAAATGTTTTGCTACTTCTGGAGGGTATTCATAAATTATATGACTGTAAGACCACCATGCAGAGTGGGCCTTTCTCAGGGCACACTGCAGATTCAGGGTGTCCCCTACCCTGTCTCTGCCCCTGGTGGGAGCAATGCAAGAGCCCCTCATTCCCAACTCTGGTTTCACCAGGGCTAGGAGAGAAGAGCCCTGGCCACAGGCCTACAATAAACTTTGCTTTGCCAGAGGGGAGAAAAACCAACACACCAAAATACTTCTATCGTCTCTTAAATTAAAGGTGCTCTATTTTGATTGATTTAGAGAGATTAAGTATTTATATAAACAGAATATTCCAAAAATTCACAGATAATAAGAAAACTTATCTTATAATGTTTTAAATATGCTACGCTAAAAAAATATTCTTCTTACAATTTTAAGAGTCAAAGTTCACACAGTTAAGGTAAACCTTTGGTAAATGAGACTAGCTTAATTATTTTGGTTAATAAGTAAATCCAGCCATGCTCTTTCTCTTATTTATCAATGTTAAGTAGGCAAATGCATTTTGCCTGGGTTTGTTTTTTTCCTAAAATTATATAGATTAATTCACCAAAGAAGCTAATGCTATTCTTATATAAATAATACTTAAGATTGTGAAAATCTAAAATTTGGTTCAATGAAATTGAATCATTATTCTGACAACTTTTAATTTCAATAGTAATTATGTTTGTAGAATGTTAGCTTGAAAATAATTTTCAAGATCTTTAATTTAAAATCTTGATGTTATTAAATTGGTTAATTAATGAACAATCATGGGAAACCTAGATGATTTCTAAGTAATTCAGAACACTGGATCACTGTTTACTAAACATAACTTTAAGCTAATTTACTTTGCCTATTATTTTAATATGCCATAGGGAGGATATATCTTTGGGTTGTGTTAATGAATATATTTTCATTTTTGCTCCATTAAGAAGGTAAAAAAGGGGATGTGTCTGCTCTACAAAGCTGTATTCTGTGTGTACATGAACTTGGCTAGTCTGCTAAAATGCTTACATATGATTTGTCAATTATCTATGTCCCCTAGTTTTCACTATGAGATAGACATTAGTTATTTTCTTAAATGTTGGAGTAATAATGACAGACAAGTATAATTACACATGTTCTTTCATTTTTCAAGGAAAAAAAATTAAAGACATCCAATATTCAAAATATTTGGTCTCAGGACCCTTTATAATATTTTATATTATGGAGCTTTTGTTTATGTATGTGGCTTATGTCTATCAATGTTTACTGTGTCAGAAATTAAAACTAAAGAGTTAAAAGAATTTATTTGGTGGTTCATCTGGAAATAGCAATGATGAACTACTTCATGTTAACGTAAGTAATTTATTGTTTATGTATTTTATAATTAAAAACTCTCTTTAATGTTCAGCTTAAGAGAAATCAGGTAGATTCTCTTATTTGCTTCAGTATTCAGTCTGATGAGATCATACATCTTCCAATACTGGAAAACTTGCTACTCACTCATGAGAGAAGGAAAATAAAAAAGTCAGATAAAGACTTAGTTTTATTATAAGGATAGTTTTAACCTTGCAGACCTGCTTAAAAAATCTCAAGGACACTCTTGGATCTGCGGACCACTCTTAGTTCTAAAGTAAAGTGTCAGGTTGTTCTAAAACATTAAAAAAAAGCATAATAAAGGATAAAACTCTGAAAGTGACTTTGATTTGCCTTGGTTTATAATAACTGTGTTTGAAATGAAGCTGAGAAATATATTAAAATTTTAGTAAGTTTACTCAGTTTTGATGAGCTTACTTCTTGGGTTTACTGACTAATGCTTTCCCTATGATATGTAGTGTTTTTCTTTTTGTATAATCTGCCTTTTTGTTTACTTTATTTTGTCTTGGATTATTTAAGGAAATAAAAAAGCATAGCAAGCAGGTTCTCTATGCTTGTTTTCAAATATTTTATTGTTGCTTTGAAAAATTAGGTAACCAAGAACTGTTTCTTAGATATCCATGATCTTAATCAAGGGCCCATTTTTTTTTTTGGACAACTCTCTTGATTTTGCCTTCTAAAGATCAGACCAAAATATAGGAAAAAAAATTGCAGAATATTTTTTAAGTCTAAAACTATGTTTGAAATTTCCTAGAAGGCTCCCAGAAAGTCATGAAGGTTTGTTCTTTTATCTTATAAAAAGAGACATTAGAAATAGGTTTGTTTGATGTTACCATTATAAGAATTTCATGGAAAGGAAGTTACTGTTACATCTGAGAAGAGAGGCTCACTGTGTGCTAGGTTAGATTCAGGCAGGTAAAATGTCATTAATATAATATTTCAGAAATTATATGCTTTATGGGAAGTGTCTGTCTGGTGATTTGACAATGCTTATACTGTCAGTGATGTGTTTTCACCTGCATGGAACACACTGACCAAAATTTTTTATGAAATTATTACATATTGTATCCAAATAGAGAGTCTTACTTTTATATCTTTTAATATCTATTTCCTAAGGAAAGTTACTGTTTTGCTTTGATGCTGGTCTGAAGGCACTGCTGTAAGCTATAGTAAATAGTCTGTGTCTACAACAAAGACAGATCCAGAGCACTAGGAAAAAGGACCATCATAGGAATTTTGAACAATTGATGCTTCAAAGACTAGTCTCTAGGGTATAGACCTCTGAGGTGATACAGCTTAGATCACTTTTATACAGTACCAGTGGACTGAGTCAGGAAACCCAGGACTCTCTAGAATGGAAGCAGAAGGTTTTAAGAAAGCAGACTGCTAAGCCAAGATCTTGCAGAACAAGAAACACAGGACTAAATGAAATAAGAGAGACAAAAAAATATTTTAACAAATTGTTTGTTTGGAATACTGTTAATTAGTTTTAATATTCTACTGCTTTATGGCCCTAGGAGCCATACTCAAGGTGACCTATATGATTAATTAATACCTTTGGTGCTGAATAATCAGGGCAAACCCATGAGACCAGCCCTTTTTTCTGATCATGTGGGGTGAGGGAGACACTGTTAGGAAGAATTGAAAGTGAAAGTCGCTCAATTGTGTCCGACTCTTTGCAACCCCATGGACAATAGAGTCCATGGAATTCTCCAGGTCAGAATACTGGAGTGGGCAGCCTTTCCCTTCTCCAGGGGATCCTCCCAACCCAGGGATCGAACCCAGGTCTCCCACATTGCAGGTGGATTCTTTACCAGCTGAGTCACAAGGGAAGCCCTAGGAAGAATCAAGAGGCTTTGAAATAGGAAGAAACAATTACTGGGTGTTCAGTCTAGGGTATCTTTAATGGTCATCTATACCTTTCATTGCCTTTGAGCTATTTCACAATTCTGTAGCTGGTGGAGAATTTATAGTAATGCATATAGTTCCTTAGCTTTTAGGGCAAAAAGCAGATACATAAAAAATGAAAACTTTTTGAAAAGGCTATGTGGAGCAGGAAGAGGTGGGGCTGGGGAGAGATTTTAAAGGAAGCAACTGTGAAGAGTCATTTCTCCTTGGCTGAGAAGAGGTTCAAGGTCTGTGGGTCCCACATGTGGCAGGGGCCCCTTCCCTCTGCTCTAAGGCTTCCACCCTCCCCCTTGATCTAAGGGCTATTAGTATGGCCCCAAAATAGCAAAGACCTGAGATATATAGTAACATGACAAGGACACTCTAGATGTATCCAGTGAAGACTGGTGACCAGACGTGTATCTCCTTGATGCCCTGCTACCTCTCAAGCCCCTGTCTGTTTTTTGGTATAATTCCTGGAGGCAATTAATTCCATAGTGCATTAAGTAAATTTCCTGCCAATTCCATAGCATAGGTGCTCATAAGTTTAAACAAGTAAATAAATCTCTTGTATACCTGAGTTTCTGTACTTAAAATTCATGTCTGCTACATAATGCTTCTGGATCTTTCTTTGACTTACTTCCCTGTGTTTTCAGTGAGTGATTTTCAGACTCAGCCCTTGGGCTAAAACAGATCTTCTCTCTCTTATACTTTTCTTTCTTTCTGCTACTGAAGTACGCGGGAATTCTTTGAGGACTAGAGCTTGCAGGCTGGCAGGAGATTGCTGCATTGATGCTTTATCTCTTTTTTCCTGGTTCTTCTCTCATCTCATTCTCCCTCAAGGAGGTAGGAAGGACAATTATTAGTTCTTGGTGGCTCAGAAGGTAAATAGTCTGCCTTCAATGTAGGAGCCCTGGGTTCAAATCCCGGGTCAGGAAGATCCCCTGGAGAAGGGAATGGCAACCCACTCTAGTATTCTTGCCTAGAAAATTCCATGGACAGAGGAGCCTGGCAAGCTACAGGCCATAGGGTCACAAAGATTCAGGCACGACTGAGCAACTAACACTATGGAATACTCTGGGATGCCCAGTTCTTAAAATCACTTTCTTAGTAAATTAAAGGATTACTGTAAGTATCTTACTACACAGAGAGTAAAATAAACAAAACCAATAGGCTTTACTATATTGGCTGTTTACCTGTGAGCAAATCCCTAGGATAAATGACATCTTTGTTAGCACTAATAAAGAAGGTTAAGATTGAGAGTGTTCTGGTCTTACCATACCTGAGCCATAACTGCCAAGCCTATGTTAACTACAAGCTTGCTGCCTCTTTAGAAGTCCTGGAAAAACAAACTTTCGGTCTGCCAAACTGTTACTGTCCCATAATTAAGTTCATTAGCAATCAAGAAAACTTTTACATGAAACACTCTCTAGAAATAATAAATATAACACTTAAGTACTCTTAACCTCAGGGTCTGCTCTGATGATGCTCAGAGTCCCTCAGGTAGTTTAATGGTAATGCAAATTATTTTTTACAGTTTTGAGACAATGCAGGCCTCAGCCCCTAGGCTTTGTGATGGTGATCTTGGGAGAAAATGGCAGCAATCTGCCCAAGATCTCTAGGAGACTTTGAGGGAAGACTATCCCAGCAATCTGTCTGCTATATGGAGAATACCTATTAATATCTACACTTTCGCACCTTCACTCCTGGATTTAATTTGAGATGGTAAGCTGTCTGACCTATTGTACTGCATCCCTTTTAGAATGCTCAGGAATTTCTGAACCCCTGTGGGTTTCCAGCTTCGTAGGGGTCTGGTTATGGATACAAGATGTCTACCAGACCACTGTTAGTCAATCTCATGTTTCAAGGACCCCATTTTTTCATACCTTTTCCCCCATGGACACACCCCCTGATGTGATGATGACATCAGCACGACTGATACCCTCATTCAAGGCATTGAGTAAGTCATCTGGGCTGGAAAAAAAAAAAAAGACAAATTAACACACAAGGAAAAATTTTTATATATAGTGCCTGCTGAAAACTAAACCACCTGTTCAGTGAGTAGGCATTAACGTGAGCACAGCACTAACTTTTGTATGAAGTGGGAATCAAAAAGGTCTCTATGCAGTAGGAGCATAACTTGTTGTGAAGAAAGAAACTTGGAAGTGCAGAAGTAGTGGTTACTGGTACTTTCATGGGCTTTTTGCTCCATATAACAAGGCGGTATAATGAGGGGACACAGTAAAGTGTAAGTAGGCTGTCTCGCCCTCCCAGTTTGCCTAGGAATATCCTGGATTTAGTTTCTTGTAACATGAAAGTTACATGTCCTAGGAAATTACAGGCATACCAGGAAAACTGATCACTCAATTTGAGATTGATTCCCTTTAGAGGGAATATGACTTAATTTGGTTAGGCCTTAAGAAATGGACTGATTTTTAAGTAGAGCGTCATTTCATATTTTATCCAGGAGTGACAGAGGTAAGAAAAGAAACCTGAGATCTACCCAAGAGTCTATACAAGAGACAAAGTTGGGAGGTGAGCAGCACAGAGATTAAGACTGTGAGCTCTGAACTCGGACTGCCTGAGTTTAATCCTGGTGCTATGACCTGGGAGATGTAGAACCTTGGAAAAGTGATAAGTTGCTTAACTGTTCTTTGCTTAGTTTTCCATCTATAAAGTGGGGATTCTACAAGGTTGTTATGTGGATTAAGTAACAGTACATATAAGTTTATGGAATAAAACCTTGTACAAAACAAGTTTTCAAGGAAGTTTGGCTGTGGTTGTTGATATTACTGGAAGTACTGACAAAAGTTATCACACAAACATACCCAACAACCTGGCAGAGTTCAGCTCTAACATATTTGGCAGTTTTTATTTAGGAGAATACTGATGACTAACATAGAAGAATATAATAGATTGGACCTAAAATACATTCATAGAACTATATTTGAAAAGTCCAAATGGCTCAATAACCCAGGGCTGGTTTCAGCCCAAATAGTTCCATTTACTATTAGGTTCTTTTACTGAATTTAGACAGAACTCTCCTGTGCCCCAAGCACTAGTCTGTCTATGAGTATATTGGAGTTTGCTTGGCCTTGGTGAATGAACTCCCAAGAAGACAAAACAATAGTAAAAGTTGAAAAATGGCTGACATGAAGTTCAATCTATAACACAGAGATCCTTTGAATTCATCCAGTTAATTGCTTATGCAGCAAAAAATACCTGGGCATTTGATGAAAGAAGGATTTATGTGTAAACATTAAAAAAAAATAAAGAAAAAAAAACCTAAAAAAAATCCCTGAAGTGGATTTTGAAGTTAACTTGGTTAGGTGAACATCTTGGAAGAAATATATTCAAAATGGGTGTATTTAAAGTATTCTTGGACTGTGTATTTTGAACAGATTTTTCATCAATCTTTTTCATTTTGCTTTAAGGAAAAAAAGCAAAGTATACTCTGTATTGAAATACTCTAAGATACGGATGTGATGGATTCTTGATTACTATATGCCCAGCACTCTGGTCCTTTTGCCTTGCTGGATCATGAAGTTGAGCCAAATGGTTGGCCCATGGAGAAAATGGTAAAGCGTTACAAACACAGGGTGATGTGGACTGTGGTTCAGGTGAATGGACAGTGACTATTATCAACACATAATAGAATTTTGTGCTAGTATAAAGAGACATTAGCTAATTCCACCAATTTAACAATATTTCATTTGTAGCATGTTGACTACAGGGTGGTAAAGTCACTGGAAACAAAGTGCAGTGACATACACATTGACATCTTTGTACATGGATAAAGTTCCTGGGACAGGCTAGCTGATGGCTGCAAATAAGCATACTGTTAAGTGATTTGTTTCCTTATTTATTGTTTTCATATTATCTGGGAAAATTTTTTTCCTATTTTTATAAAACTGAAGAGTCATCAACTTTCCAAAGGAAAATTTCTAATTTGCAGAAATAAACTAAAAGGACTTTTATACCAAGCAAGTCCTTACTGTAATTTATTATGTTTCAAAGAATATGCTCAATGCTGCTTTCTACTCTGAGGCTGGTGGGTTCACAAAATCACTGAATCTTAAAGTTGGAAAGATCTTTGGGGGTCACTCAAACACAGTTCTGAGCACTCTGGGGCTGGCGCTTCTCTATCTTCCTCTGCCTACCTCTTTAACTCTACCTTCATTGCGTAGGTCTAGTAAGAGATCATAGCTTAGAGGGATAGGCAGCAAAGTGAGGCAACTGTCAGAGGATCTGTACCTTCATTTATATCGCATGATATAACTCCACTTGTTATTTCACAATAAATCTCTGAGGTAGACTGAACAGGTATGAATTATCCCTAGTTTACAGAGAAGGAGAATGTTATCCAAACTGGCAAAATGGCACATTAAAGGCTAGGTGGAGCAGTACAGGGCAGAGCTAGGATTAGAACCTTTGCCTCCTTGCCAAGTGCCTAAGTAGAGTAATTGTCTGTTGTTTTTCAGGCATAAGACATGTCATAATAGGAAAGTTCTCAGCAGAATGGACCACTGTGCAAAAGCATCAAACAGAGGATGCTAAGGCAGCAGGTGAGGATCCGTCTGGGATGACAAGAAAAGTATGTGTGTGGACATGTTAGTACATTTCTGGGGAATGAAACCAACATAATTCTGAATCCTATATTCAGATGAAAACTAAATAAGATTTGATTAAACATAACTTAGGACTGCTAAGTCATAAATTTGCTTTCTTTCTTGTGAGTCATAATATATTCTAAATGATGAAATATTTCTAATGTAAGATAATAGTGTAACACCCATGTATCCATCTCTCAGATCTGACAAATGCTGATATTTTCCTGTATTTATTTTATATTCACTCACCTCAACCTTTTTACTGTTAAGAAATAAAAACTGAGTTTGCTTTCTAAGACTGAGATTACTCTGAATAATGATAAAAAATAGGTAGCAAAGATTATAATCATGGATATTACAGTAGGATAAAAATAATCCCTGATTTTATGTTTTGTTAAACAGAGAGCATAGCATATTAATTTTCTTAAAAAGAGGAGAGCAAAATGAAAACACAATAAGACCTTATATGTCTTATATATGACACTATTTCCTATATATATCAATTGATATTTAAGAAATAAAATTAATGACAGTAATTCTCACATTTTAAAAGAACAACACACTCTCACACTTATGTGTTAGTTTTACAATTCTACTATGTAGGCAGGACAAGAGAGGTCAATGAAATTCACAAAGGCAGTGACAGATTCAAGGTCACTTATGTTCATTTTACTATTCTTTTAAACTACAGTAGTTATTCACATTGTGAAAGACACTTTGTTATATTATCTTTAGAAAAATAGCTATTTATCATTATTATCTAAGAATATGTATCTAATTTGTGTATGCCAAATAGTGATGATCAATATCCAATAAATTGTACTTTTTACATTTGAAATACAGTCTCACCAATGACACTGGTAGGGATATGGAATTAAGCAGATTAAGCTTTACATATATATGTATATATATCAGTTGCTTCCCTTTCCTCAAAGAGCAGCAGGTCTTAAAGGGATACTGTGATATCATTTAATTCTTAATTCATTAAAAACTGTAGTTTTAATTAGGTTTGGAGAGTGATTACCATTTTTAAAGATAAATCTAATACTAGTATTATCTTTAGTTACTAACACTTTCTTTCTAGTTTTACTTGAAATAAGTAACCTATACATGATTCTTTGAGAGTATCAATATTACATAAAAACATACAAAAGCAATGATTTAGTGCTAAATGCTAAAAATTTTAATGCTCAGCGACAGAAAACAGAAGTGTTAACTGAAGGCTTGAGTGTGTCAGGGCCTAGAATCAAGCTGTCTCTACTGCTGAGATGACTGAAAAATGAACATCATTTTTTTGGGTCTCACTGTCCTTACTTTTAAAATGAAAATTTGGATTATGTCCTTTCCATGTCTAACATTCACTGAGTTAAAGTCCTTTCTATGTCTAACATTCACTGATTTAAAGCACTAGAAGCTGATTGGGATCTAGTTTAAGACTGACAAAAGAGTATAAACCTAAGAATGTAAATAAATTTCAAGGATAAAGAGAAAATTTTACAAACTGTCAGACAGAAAGATTAGATTTACTAACAAAGAAAAAAAGAATATTGGCTTTGGATTTCTTACCTACAACACTAAAAACTATAAAACAGTAGATTAACATCAATGTACTCTGAGAAAAAAGGCTTGCAACACCCAAATCCTATACCTAGTCAGACACTCATCATCTATCAGTAGAGAATAATATTTGTGAAAATGCAAAAATTTAGATAATAAATCAGTAAGTAACATTACAGAAAAATGACTCTAAATGAAAAAAATTTAACCAGATCAGAGGTCTCAAGATAGGGGAAGATGAAGAGTAGAGAAAACACTAGTAAAACATGCACACGCACACACTCACACACATTTCTAAAATATATAACTAAATCTAAATGAATAACAATCAAATAGAAGGGAAATTATAATATATGTGCTAAACATGGATTCCTCAGAAGTTGTAGAGATGTATACTAAAAAAGAAAACTTAGTCTAGATTTAAAAGCATTATTTCAGCAATGCCTAAAAGTGGGGGGAGTGGAAGTAGCTGGGAGAAGTAAAAGTAAGTGATGTAGGAGGCACAGGGAGGAAATGGGAAGGCTGTGCATGAGGGGTATAGTGAGCACCTTTAAAAAATATAACAGTGGAGAAATGAATATTTGATTATTAGTATCAGAATTTGGAAGGAAAGTATGAGGGGGATGGTAGAGTACCCCACACTTACCAAAATAATGAGTGAGGGGGAACCTGGATTAAACCAACAACAGAGAAAAGGACAAGGATAATAAAAGTTTTATTAATAGTAAAAATAAAGTAAGGTGGAAGGAAAAAATATCAAGGGAATATGGTAAAGCAAAATGAACTTCAAGCTAGGTTCAGGGTTAC